AACACCTGTTATTTCTCTCACAAGCAATAATGTGTGGGAACATCACCAGGTATCTGAAAGGGTTTACTCAGTATTAAAGAAAGTAAAAAAAAAAAAAAAGCTTACTATTTTGCTTCGATAGTTCAAGGAAGTTCAAACAACGACTTTTTTCAGACCATTCAAGACTTCCAACTCAATTTCAAGTTGGATTTCGCTGGTCTTTCCGTCTTCCACAGCATTGATGTTGTTTGTTATCCCTTAACATTTCTGATAACCGTATTCCACATTTTGTTCTTGGAGAGTTAATTCTCCAACTTAAGTTTTGTTTACTTCCACTCCTAAATGTTTTTTTTCTCTTTCTATCAGGTTGAAAGAGATAACTTACAAGTTTACGAAAGATGTGACGCAGGGCACTGACGTCATTGTATTTTTTTCCCCTTTTTCTTTATCTTTCTAGAAATGATGATTCTAACGTCTGATTTGTTTTTTTCTTCTAACTATCGTTTCCGTCTTTATTCATTACAAAATTGTTCTATTTGTTCATCTTCTTGTAAATACATATATCTGGGATATTAACTTTTTTAGCATATTCATTCGCGTTTCCTTATCATCATTATCATTATCATCATTATTATCATCACTACTACTACTACAATTTTATTGTTATTATTACAATTATTGTAATAATTAATTGTGTGTGTGTGCGTCTGTCTTGTTCTTCTCTCTCTCTCTCTTATCTTCCGTTTCTTCCATGTTCTTTCTCCCGTTTTCTATTCCTTTGTTTTCTGTTCTTGTTTATTATGACAGCCGTTAAGTAGAATATATAAGTGAGAGCGAAGTATTTCACATAGTTTCGATGCAGCATTCATATTTTTTAATCAGAATGCTATGTACTTTTGATCAAGATGTAACATTATTTCTCACTGGTGCCTTTTCCACACATCTCTTTCGTGTCAAATTTCTTGTAATCTGTTTTAGTTTCGTCTACCGTTTTTTTCAACTTCTCTCCCAAAGTGGTGTTTTCCTCCATCGCCTTGTTTTCGACCATAAACACTAATGCGAAAAAAGTGTCATTTCCACAAATCTGTAATATTTAATTGCAATTGGC